AAAAGCCAAATTTATACCAGACCTTGAAATTTCCCAAGCTTTATCCTGTAAGCCATAAGTTTCATCGATATTTTTGATTTTTTTCATTGTATAATTTACAGTAGCAGTGATGGCATCAGGTATTGGTGATTGTTTTAAAGCAACTGCGCCAGTAATAGCAGCTTGGATTATATGATCTGATATTCCAGCATTATTGATGTCGTTACTGTGATGATCATCATTGTTGATGTTGTTGTTATTACAATTTGATGAGTGATATTTATTAAAAGAGTCAGAATCAACGCAGCAAGATTTATGATAATTATTTTGATAAAGATTTGGATTCTTTGAATCTGATGACTCACTGATCATCTCTTCAGATAATCCGGCACGATCAATAAAGTCTCGTAATTTAGTTTTTAATGCATCTTTTCTTGATTGATCGGCGTGAACTTTTATAATTTTAATTAATAAAATTAATAAAATTGATTGATTGATTAATTGATTAACTAAATAAATAAATAATTTTTTTCAAAAATTAATTAAAAATTATTATTACTTGGCATAGCTTCCAACATATTCTCTAAAGCAGTGAGATAAAGATCTAGTGCACATTCATGATTTCCTTGATGATCTTCTTCGACAGCAAAAGCAGAAAAGGCAATAGCTTGATCGATTTTCTTTCTATTCATTCTGTTTGATGGTTTTTTTCTACGAATAGGCTGAGGCATTTGGTTTGATTGAATAATAGAGGTATTGTTATTATTATTATCCCCATAATCATAATTATTCATGTTTATATTATCGCTAGTATTATCAAGAACATTGTAAGTTGAATTAAAATTTGTGGATTGTTTTTGCTGAGCCCTAGGTTGAATATGTTTATTATTATGAGTTAGTTGTTGTTGCTGTATTGGAACTGCTTGTGTTGTTACAGAATCTGATTTTTGGGATTGTTGTTGATTTTGACCAAATATACCAACTAACGGTAACATGATTAAAGAAGATTGGAGTAATTGAGTTTGTAAAGTGGAAAGAAGAGATATTACTAAATAAACTTTACTAATAGTTGTTAATTGAGTAGAATTGTGACAATAACGATGTTGATAAGTAGAATCTACCGTTTTTTTTTTCGAATAAAAAATAAAGATTTTTATTCGTTAAATGGTTATTTGTTAAAAAAGTTATCTTAAAATGCAACACAACATTTGTTTTCGTACACGTGGATAATAATTTAACTTACTTACTATTAACTGTTTGTTTTCTAATATTTAAATTATTTAATTGATAAATATGATTTTAAAGTTCAGGAGAGAATAAAATTCTGGTATAAAAGATTTTTTAAAAAATAAAATTGTTCTTTTTATATTTTTTTTTTTAAATTTTGAAAATTTTTATTAGAACATTTATTTTGATCTCTATTCATTTGATTTTCATGCGAAAAAAATTAATTTGTTTTGATTTTCATATGTTCATTATGTTCATTATATTAAAAAAAAAAGAACAATTCCATGATTATTCATTTTTTAAAGGTGATTTGAACATAGAAAACTTTTCTTTTTATGTATATGATCTGATTTTAAATTATTCATGCATATTTAATTATCTGCAGTATTGCTCTACCCAATCTACACGAAATAAATGACTACTGCTGCATTTTTGGAAAATAAGATTTGTATGAAAAATTTTACTTTTTGTTGCAACTGATAAAGTGCATTTTGAAAAATTATCATCATTATTGTTTAAAAAATAAAATAAAATTTAAAATAAATCTTGAAAAGAAAACACCACACGAAGCAACAAGGATTTCTAAAAGATGTTATAAATAACATCAGAATTCAGTGAAATGCCAGATTGGTTAGAAAACCAAAAAAATGCGAGGTCTCATATATTGAAGCTATAGCAATAATAAAAGTTATAATTTATCATAGAAATAATAATAATTTAATTTTTAAGGATAGAATATAAAAGAAAAGGCAGTATATGTGACATTGAACTTTCTAAAAATTTAAAATAATGTCAAAATTTTGATAAACCTTTATACAAAAGTAGAGATTGGGCATCATGGTGAGTTTTTCTTAAAAAAAACTTTTTTTTATTAGGTGAAAATATTCATAATAAAGTTATTTTAAATTAATCAATTAACATGTTGATTTTTAATTTAATTGGTAAAATTGTTGATGAGAAATATGCAAATAAAAGTTATATTCAAAGGTTAATTTATTGATTATTTTAAAAGCTTATATAGATAACCAATTATTTATATTTATATATTTATAGGCTAAACTTTATGCTTTGAGTAAGGAATCATTATTGCAGACACCAAACTTGAGTTTGGGATTGATTCTGATGGACAACCCATTTTAATAGATGAAGCACTAACTCCAGGTATACATCACTGTTTACAACAATAACATAATAACAAATAGAAAATTTAATAATTAATATTAAAAATTTGAATTTGTATTACCAAGAAATTAAACAGTGCAAGACATCTAGTCCCTACAATTTTTATTGGTCTTACTTGACCAAAAAATCAAGATGTAATTTTGAAGTTAAGACCTTTCTCTACAAAGTTGCATCTTGATATGTCATGTGGAGGAATTAAGCCTCAAAGTTGCACAAGTTTAACAAATTTACTATGTTACTTCCAACGTGATGTGTTACTGGGGCATTCGATTGGGGTAACATGGCCTATGTAGATCAAAACTAGTTAATTTTTTTAAATTCGATTCAAAGAAAATTTTGTTTGCCCCGAGAATTTATTATTGTACCAAGTAAACAACATCTAATTTTTTTTCACCAATTTATAATCATGATGCTATAGTTTAATATTATGTAAAATAATTTTTTTGATCAAAAATCTCGAAACCTGGTTTTCTTAGAGCATCCCCCATGTATGGAACACTATTGGTTTTTTTTTGTTGAAGCAAATTGATTTT